CCCCAAAACCCCAAAACCCCAAAACCCCAAAACCCCAATAAAGAAAGCCAGAATTGTATAATTTGTCTAAAAATGGCGTTGAAGGACTATGTGAAGAAGATACACTTGATGGTTAACTATAAACCTTATGTGTTTGGGCTTTATATAGTCACTTTTGGAATTATTTATGCGATAGTTGTGTGGAGGATGGTGGTTGGAGGTACCAATGCTCTCCTTTGCTACTTATTTATCAACTGCTATCTCACCACAACAACACTAATCTTCTTCCTTCTCTCTACTACAAGAAGGAACATCCCATCTCCTAGTGCTGATTCTAATATACTTAATGAATGTATCCTCTGCTGCGTTCTCTCTTGTACAGCCTGATGCTTCGGACTCTTCTGGATATAGCTCTCTTCCATTCACTCGAAGTCGACAAAAGAAGAGCCCGTGCTGAATTCAAAGGCTCTTGGCGCTCCATGCTCTTCTGCTTCATTCCTACATTCTCAGTGATAACCTGGGGTCTGTTCTTAGCCATGCCAATTGTGTTCGATGAAAGAAAGGACGAGGGCTTTTGGGGAGGCTATTGAGTCATGGTTTATTGTATGGCGTTCTGTTATTCTGTTTACTTCCAAACAAGAGCCTATCTATTCGATGTGAAATGGCTTCCTTACTTTCATCCTCTGACTTGGGTCGTCCTTATAGTCCTAGCTATATTTCTGGGTGTTTACTCTATGTTTATAGTTCCTAAGAAGATCTGCCAATTGGGCTCACAATGTTTAACCAATTACTGATTCAAGCAAAGTGAAGGCAGAGTGGAGAATTTGCAGGAAGAGGTGAAACAAGATCGTCATGGATCTAATCCTCAAACCACAACAGTTATAGGATATAAACAAGGAAATCAGAGTACAGTCATTATTGAAGGTAACACGTGAAGCTTAGCTTTATCTCAATACCCAGTTCATAAACAGAAAATCGGTATTTTTGTGCAATATTTTTACGAATGATTTTTATGTCTCAAGACTGTAATTCCTAAGATTTCCAATTTTATTACATGCAAAAATTGTAATTTTTAACTAAACAACAACGAATTTGACCTCCATACTAATAAACAACCCAAATTTTCTCCAATACAAACCTTTTATCACTCACACCAAACTTCTATACATCCACAGACATCTAACCCACCTATTCCTCATCCACACCAATCTTCCCTACAACCCTCTTCTCCCCCCCCTCAACCACTCAACCCCATAAAACCCCTTCCAAACCACCTCCCCCACCCAAGTTCACCAAACCCTTACCCAATCCCTTCCCTATCACAATTACAATTATCTTAAGCTCCACCTAAAATTCCTTAAATCCTAAACTACATGCAGATTAGTCGGTGAAAAGGAGGCTTGGGCGAAGGGAGTTTTTGAGGTTTAGTTTGGGTGGAATTGTGTGGAGAGGAAGTTCAGGAGGGGGGTTGGGTAGGGGGGTTTAGAGGGATGTAAGGTGGGGGTTGGGGGTGTTGGGGTGCGTGTTTTTGGGGTTTTGGGGGGTTAGGAAAGAAGTTAGGTCTAGTAGACGGATAAGTTGTAGATTTTTATGCTGGATAGAGTTTAGAGTTCTTGTGCTTAATGATATGCTAGGGTGATATTTCTTTGAAGATCTTATGTTTTGGGGTTGACTTTAGAGTAAAGATTTTTGTTTGAAATTTTTACTTTAAAATGTAATTTGTAAGAAATTTCATAAAGTTTTTATTCTTAAAATTTTAATATCTTGACTTTTATTCAAAATCTTTTATTAACATTTCATGGTAGAAGAGAATTGAGCAGTTTGTTTGAATAAAATAGAAGATTACGAAGTTACAGAAAAGATTAAATGTGGACACAAATTTCACCCACCTTGCATCCACACATGGCTTTCAATAAAAACTAGATGCCCTATTTGTAGAAAAGTTATCAGAGAGGACTAATTTTACTAATTCCCTTAAAATCTCATAATCTCTTCAATTTTAACAAAATCCCTTGGGGTTTTGGGGTTTTGGGGTTTTGGGGTTTTGGGG